GGGTAAAACCTTTTTTGGGAAGCATTTCAGGTTCTTGGTTTTAAATCCTCCCCCCCCCAGGGGCCCCCGCCGAGGTTTTCCAAAAAAAGAAGAAAAAACCAAAAACCCCCCCCCCCTCTTTTTTTTTTTCCCCCCCCCCCAACCCCCACCCCCCCCCCCCCCTGCCTCCCACAACACAAAGAGGTCTCTGCGGAGGAGAGAGGATTAGATGAAAGGAAAGGTAGGGAGTGGTGGAACAAGATTTAACATGGTGTTTCTCCGGCCTCCTTGACTGAATCTTTCTCATTCTGGTATGGTTTGAAAGATCACTCCACCCTGCACAAGTTAGCAGACAAAGTTATCCTTGGCAATTAAAAAAGTAACGACGTCACAAGAGGTAGAAGGGACGTGGATCTGGACGGGCGATTGCGGGCAGTTCAGGGACAATTTGGTTAAAATTGTTTTAATACCAGGCTGTTCATGTGCCCTTTTCAAACGCCGCTTTGCATCCGGGAACTCGGGAAAAAAGAATGTTGGAGAATTGTTTACTGCAGCCAGTATTTGCCAAAAGCGGGAGTTTTTCCCCCCAAGTGACTTGGTGATATTTCGCCTGTATTAAGTGGAGAAAGGCTTTGTGTGGTGTGGCTTATTTTATCAGTGCCGAGAAAGTATTTTATTGTGTGATTTCCAGATACTGTTGACCGACAGTCTTAAGGAGCAAGAGCGGTGCGGTGGTGAGAGCGCTCGCCTCCCACCAAAAACACTGTGGCTTGGGTTCGAATCCTGGCGTCAGCGCCTGTAGGTTGAGTTTGTTGTCGTTAGTTCTCTCCCCTTCTCCGAGAGGTTTTTCTCCGGTTTTCCTCTCCTTAAAAACCACCACTTCCGAATTCCAATTCGGTCTGGAACACACGCGCACGTTTCAGCGAGTTCTTAAGAACTCCTAAGTGCAAATTTCCAATTTACAAATTGACAATTTTTACAAGAGACACAACTCAGCGGTTTCGTTGAGTTGTTACAAGAACATTGTGCATGTTTTTATTCAGTGTTACAGTGCAGCACTTTACAGTTGACTAATTCTAAGCTCTCTGGCTAACTTCACTTCTGAAATTCTAGAAATCATGCTTTTATTTAAAAGTAAAGTTCTTAACATTTGGTATAGACTACGAGTAGTCCCCATTTTTCCTCATTTTTCCCTCTCCCCACCGCGTCTCGCCTTTCTCACGCGCGCTCGCTTTTCGCTCGCTCTACTATCCCTGAGGAAAAATGGGGACTACTCGTAGTCTACATTTGGTATAGTCTTCCACGTATCGCTTTGGACCAATCAGTTTTCAAACGTTAACCTTGTAGTGAACTACTCTAGCAAGTAACAAGTCTCTTAAGACCATTGCGATACTTACTGCTAAAAGTGAGGCAGATAATCGGGTTGAGAGCACAGTTTCCTCTACACATTAAGTAGGTGACAAAATAGTATACTTTAAAACTACAGTAAGACCAAATGGAACTGTCAGAGGAAAAATACATTATTAAAAGGTTACTGAAAAAAGGTATCCAGCAAATGAAAAACACTACAACGATAGCAATAGCCATCTTGAGCACTTTTCTGTTTCTTCTTGTCCTCTGTCCCTCGGCGTTGGCTGACTGTTCACCTGGATGGGCTTGTTTTTTAAGTTTAATCATGATGATGGAGTAAAGTATCACCAACAGGACGAAGGGGGTGTAGAAAAGTACGGTAGCACCTACCAGGAGGTAATTTGCATATGTGTCTCCTTCGAAGGTTTCTGCCTTCTGACTTTCGCACATGATTCCTTCAGGATAATGAACATGTTTAACAGCAACAAAATATAGCAGTTGAACGGCCATCGCGACAGTCCACGTAGCGACAATGAAGAGTGGACGCTGCTTGCTAGTTATCAGAGGGGAACGAAGTGGAACTACAACAGCAACAAATCGATCCACTGTTATCAGAACAAGGCTCTGAATAGACACTAACAAGGAAACGACTGCAAGAAAAATCTGTATCTTGCACAAGGCCTGACCAAGGAATCCACTAATAAGCCACGAGCCAAAGTGCACCTTTACCACAAGAACAGGGAACGTGAATATTGGATAGAGCAGGTCGGACATGGCCATGTTTGCGATCAACATATTTATCGGTTTTCTCAATGTTGGTGTTTTGTGAACAATTAATACGATGAGAAAATTTCCAACCAGCGAAACGACAAGGATAAAACTGTAAGCAACTGTTGCTCCAATTTTTCCTGCTTCGTGATTTATCAGACTGAAGCAGCTCCAAGAACTTGATCCAGTTGCTGTTGTGTTCATGCTTATACTGACTCATTCACAGGTCTGTTCTCTTGAGACTTTGTTGCTTCCAAAAACACCTTCTGTTCAAGTAATGCCGGCTTATATATGTTTAATATAAATAATACCTCCGTCGAATACCTGATTAACAAATTAATAATACTATAATACAATCTCCGAAACAATTGATTTCAATCTAAATTCAATAGATGGACTTCTGTAAAAACTTTGGATAAATACTCCTAGTGAGCGTTAATAATAAAGCTGCTGAATTTTCATTAAATGACTTACGCAATAATATAAAGCCGTAAATTGCAAAACCTGATCCTTTCACGATTTTCCCATTTGGAGGGCCCACCTGCCCCTCCAGTATAGCTTTTGAGGGGGCTATATGTCAGGTTATTTGCTTTTTAAAACGCTGAAACGTGTCTCCTGTCCATTAAATTCCATTCAAAAGCTCATTATTAACCCATAAAGAAAAAACAAAAGAAATTGATGTTTGATGAGTGTCAAAGACACGGCTCAATTTTTCCGACCAAAGTAACCCCCAAATCTAAATACTAGTGCAAGAATAAGTTGGCCTATATCAGCGATTTTGAAGCCTTTATGTACTTTCATTTCGGCGAGGATGGAGAATGAATTAACAATTGAAACCCAAATTGCACGCCATCATGCACCATTTAAAGCAACCCTGACTCCTCGAAAAAAATCAAAAGCGGTATATATAGCACAATGAAACATGTAAAGTATTCAAAGGAAAAAGTAGTTTTATCCTTCTAAAGTCGTGTTCTTTTTGTCTGATTTCTTAGCCGTTTTCACGTTTTGAATGACGAATCGACTAGAAAAAATACATATACCTCGCTTAACTGACGACTAAGATTTCTTAAGAACTTCTTCTATCATTTTCTACTAGAAAAATGTTTAAAAGCAAGGGTATTTTAAGTAATGTTCTAAAAACGAAGGGCAGTGATAAAACACGTGCAGTTTAAAAGACGTGCAGTTTAAAAACGTCAGGTTTAAAAACGCCTTTGGAGTATTTCATTTCAATAGAACTGCTAAAGCCTGTTTCCATATGATCGTCCCGATCGTCCCAGTCCTCTCAAATAATGTGCAGACGATCGAAACGATCATATTGAAACGCTACCCGGACTATCGCAAACGACCCGGACGATTGAGACACCCTCGATCACTTGGATAGACAGTGGATAGAGTTGAATTCTATCCGGACGATCAAGACGATCGTGTAAATTTTGAAGCGATCATATGGAAACGCTCTCAGATGACTGAGACGATCGAAGGCTATCTCAGAAATCATCACTTTTATTCCAGTAATCGAGAATAAACTCGACCTAGATGGCGCTGAAGTCGAAGTCGCGTATGGGCGCTATTTGAAACTAGAGAAAATCCCTGACATCGAGTTCGACGTGATACTATGTCTACTATGTCATCGTGGAACTCTTCTAGCTTCTCAACGCCGCAAAATCGAGATTAAACGCAGATAGTAAGGCATGAGGTTCGCTCCCCGAATAAAAATGATCATTATGTTTGGCTCAGTTTGCGAAACAGGCGCAAAAATTCTATTGTCTCACCCAAAGACATCGCTGACGACCCCGCGTCTCTTGCCTTTGAGGGATCGTCTCGAAATTTTTTGAAACGACTGGGACGATCCAGACGATCATATGGAAACCAGGCTAAAATAATGCATTTTTTGTTTTAAAACATGTTGATTGAAAAAAGTTGAACAAAAGCAGCAAAACTGATAACAAATGTTTGGCAGACATATTTATGCAAATGCACTATCCAACTGAAGTACACAGTTTAAACGTCTACTAGCGTTCGCAGTCAGCTAACCAAATGAAAGAAATTTCACAGTTATCCGGCTGCACAAGAGGAAAAAAAAATTCTGGAGAAGAGTGTCCCTAAATGTAACTGCAACGCAACGTAATGGGCTTTGACATTATTTTTACGGAATCGCAAACTGGTAAAAACCCTTGAATGCTGAGGTCTACTCAACGGGTGAAGTAAACCGACTGGTTCGTTCTCGCCGGATCTCTAGTATAGAGGTGCTAATGTCAGGCGTCACTTGAGGTGGAAATTAAAACAAAATTGAATGCAAGGCAGCCTCGTTCCCAGTCATCATCGGCGATTTCGGATGTGACGTCACCTGTCAAGCTTGTCGGGAAAATTCGCACTCAGTTCCAAGCCTCCTCTCGTAACTCGGATAGAGCGAACTGGCCTTGGTACGAGGCTGAATGCAAGGCTGGAAATACGGGAAAGGGCTGGTTTATTTAAAGTTCCTGACTGACAATCAAAACGTAAGTAAAAATTTGATGAAACTTGCAAAGTATTCAAGGGAAAAGTACTTTGATCCTCCTAAAATCGTGTTTTGTCTCGTGCCGTGAGTGCTTTGAACAGATTCAAACGCCCCCGGAGTATCTCATTTCAATAGAATTGCTAAATAATGTGTTTTTTGTGTGTTAAAATGTGTTGATCGAATATTAAAAGTTAAACNAAAAAAAATTCTGGAGAAGAGTGTCCCTAAATGTAACTGCAACGCAACGTAATGGGCTTTGACATTATTTTTACGGAATCGCAAACTGGTAAAAACCCTTGAATGCTGAGGTCTACTCAACGGGTGAAGTAAACCGACTGGTTCGTTCTCGCCGGATCTCTAGTATAGAGGTGCTAATGTCAGGCGTCACTTGAGGTGGAAATTAAAACAAAATTGAATGCAAGGCAGCCTCGTTCCCAGTCATCATCGGCGATTTCGGATGTGACGTCACCTGTCAAGCTTGTCGGGAAAATTCGCACTCAGTTCCAAGCCTCCTCTCGTAACTCGGATAGAGCGAACTGGCCTTGGTACGAGGCTGAATGCAAGGCTGGAAATACGGGAAAGGGCTGGTTTATTTAAAGTTCCTGACTGACAATCAAAACGTAAGTAAAAATTTGATGAAACTTGCAAAGTATTCAAGGGAAAAGTACTTTGATCCTCCTAAAATCGTGTTTTGTCTCGTGCCGTGAGTGCTTTGAACAGATTCAAACGCCCCCGGAGTATCTCATTTCAATAGAATTGCTAAATAATGTGTTTTTTGTGTGTTAAAATGTGTTGATCGAATATTAAAAGTTAAACAACAAAAGTAGCAAAAGATATCAAATTTTCCGCAGAAACTTTTATGCAAATGTATTATCCAACTGAAGTACATCGATCGATTTGAACACGGTTAAAGTTTGTAAAAGTTAAAATTCGTTTCAAATCAGCATGTTGACACATCCACTTTAAAGAGTTCAAAGGAAAATACATGCTAATTCGGATTAAATTTAGACAGGTTTTGAATAGACTGAAGTATTATTAGTTGCGTGAAGTTCTATGAATTAATTCTTCTTCTAATAATAGCCAAATGTTTCGGGTGTCCGAGCAAGAACAATAACCAGGAAAGAGATATACACTGAGTGGGTTTCTTCATGATTGAAACTCTCTCTACGTTATTTTTCACTTATCGACAATTCACTCCACAAAATACCATAACATATCATAATGCTCTCTGTTTGTCACCCAAAATTTTGTACAAGCATTGTTTTCAGTTTCTCTCCACAGTGCTTATGCAAAATTTTGGGGTGGCAAAAAGAGAGCGTTATGGTATGTTATGGTATTTTCTGGAGTGGTCAATTATCAATGAGCGCGTTTCTGTAATGGTGTTCCATTTGAATTTTTGTCGAACACTCGTTTTCTCTTTACTTGCAGATTGAAGCACTTTTATTGTCCTATTTCACTCAATTCTACGATCATTTAGAAACAATGCTCTTAAATTTGCACAACGTTTTATTAACGAAAAAGTTGAACCTGTTCCTTAAGCAGTTTGGTTCACAAGTTACCCAGAATTTTAGATGCAAGAGTAAACAAGATTATTATCTTGTTCAAGAGACACTACTGCAAACTGATCAAATAACAACAACAAAAATGACAGACCTAAATAATACCGGTAGACTAATTGCAAGATCATTATCAGCTCTCGTAATTTACACCTTACCACGTCATACCATGAACTTCCGTTTATTATTTTACAGCAGCATATGTTCTGTAAATTCGTGTTTTTTTTTCCCAATATACCTGATGAAGGCTGGTACTGGCCAGTTAAAATATTGTATACCTAAAGCCTTTTTTACGTTGTTTTACCAGTCTTTGCAGTAGTCTTTTTTACTTTAATTCTATGTTTATCTTTTTCGACAGATTACGACCTTGTTTGATCCAAAGTTGAGCTAGATTGATCGTTGACGGTTTTTGCAGTGGTTTTTCAAGCCTTAATTTACGTTAAGATAATAATGTTTCACCATCATTTTGAAGAAAAGTTTTTTTTTAATCGATATTATTATTATTATTATTATTATTATTATCATTTATTTATTTATTTATTTATTTATCTATTTATTTTTATATTTACACGAAACGCTTTAGACCCAGCTTTTAGTTTCCAAAAGTTAATCTTGCACTGTATCACAGCAATTAACAATTCTCTTAAGTGCTTGGCGATAATTACTGCTAAAAATGAGGCAGATAATCGGGTTGATAGCAGAGTTTGTGTGAGACACGTAATAGGCGACAATGAAGTATAGATCAAAACTACATGAAAACCAAATGGAACTGTCCGGTGCACTAAGACTAACTATCAAAAAGTTACTGAAATAGGGTATAAAGCAAATGAAAAACACTACAACGATAGCAACGGCCATCTTAACCACGTTTCTGTTTCTCCTGGTGCGTTGTTCTCCAGCGTTGGCTGACTGTTCACCTGGATGTGCTTGCATTTTAAGCTTCATTAAGATGATAGAGTAAAGTATCACCACGAGGACAAAGGGAATGTAGTAAAACACGACGACAACTGCTAGGGCGTAATTTTCAAATGTCCCTCCGAAGATTTCTATCCACAGACTTACGCACATCAGTCGTTCTCGGTATTTAACAACTTTATTAGCAACAAGAAATGGCGAAAGAACAGCCATTGCGGTGATCCACGTAGCGATAATAAAGAATGGACACAGCTTTCTAGTTATGAGACGAGGGCGGAGTGGAACTACAACAGCTCCAAATCGATCCACTGCTATCAGAACCAGGCTCTGAATCGAAACGAACGAGGAAGCATCTGCAAGAAAGGTATGTAGCTTGCATAGGGCTTGGCCAAAGGTACCACCAATAAACCACGAGCCAACGTGCATCTCTGCCAGGAGAACAGGGAACAGGAATATTGGAAAGAGTAGGTCGGATATGGCCATGTTTGCAATCAACAGATTAATCGGTTTTCTCAAAGTTGGTGTTTTGTAAACAATTAATACGATGAGAGAATTTCCAACCAGCGAGAAAACGAGGCTCAAACTAAGAGCAACTGTTGCTCCAATTTTTCCTGCTTCTGGATTTATCAGACTGGAGCAGTTCCAAAAACTTGATCCATCTACTGTTGTGTTCATGCTTACTGACTTCTCGACAGTTGTGTTCCTTCTCTTGAGGCTTGTTTCCACCGAAAATCATCTACAGTTCAAATAATGGTTTAATATATTGTGTATGTTTAATATTCAGCCATCGACAACACTTCTGGCGTCACTGTATTTAATTATGAGAAAATACTGCCACCTGCGGTCAGTGTAATCTTTGACGTATTTCAATTTGACAACCGTCGAAGTGTGATCCACAATGACTGTGGTTTCGGTTCGTACCCTCTTTGATTAACGGGCGGGACATTCGTGCCTCATGATCATGAAAATTGGTTTATAAAGCAGGTGATAGGAAAATTGAAATTTGTCAAAATTTGAGCGTAAAAAGGGACCATATTTCACCCTTTGCTACCTTTTTTTTGTCAGGGAAAAGGCACTAACATAGTTTTTACAATGTTCAAAAAGTCTTGAATTTTACTAGTCGTCTTTGAAAAGTCCTTGAAATATACAACCTTGTCTACGCCAGACACCTTTTTCTGAGGAAAATTTGGTTCATCCTTAGTGTAAGAACTTGTACTTAAGCTCACCGGTAGTGTTAAAACATTTTTGTGCATGAACAATATTTTATTTCTGTTCCTTTTTTCAAATGAAAATTGATTTATAAAGCACGTGATACGGAAAATTTGTCAAAATTTGCAGGTAAAACGGGACTATATTTCACCCTGTGCTACCCTTGTTTTTGTATGAGAAAAGGCACTAACATGTTTTCTACAATCTTGAAAAGGTCTTGAATTTGACTAGTCATCTTGAAAAGTCCTAGAATTCAGTTTAGGTCTTTGAAAAGTACTTGTCTTGATTTCTATATTTGGTCTTGAAAAGTCCTTGGAATATACAACCTTGTCTACGTCAGACACCTTTGGCTCATCCCTGGTTTAAGAACCTGTAAAGCTCACAGGTAGCGTTAGAACATTTTTGTGCATGAACAACATTTTACTTTCTGTTCCCTTTTCTCAAATGCTATTTCTGTACCTCACATGCAATTGCAAGTCATACCCAGTCATTTTGCATCAAAGGGGGTTAAAGAAGGCTAATTTAATAAATAAATCATTAGTTAGTCCTTTAAAAAACTGTAATTTGGCCTTAAAAAATCTTTGAATAGTCCTCGAAATTTGTTTGTCTGAAGTTGTACGAACCATGACTAATTACTGTGTAATGACTTAACCACAGAATGGAGCTAGTAAATACATCAATATCCTCATGACATAGCCCCTTTTGGCTCTCTTAGATGATACTTATGATAAAGAAGGTAAAAAATAATTGAACTAACATTGCAGAAGGAAATGATGGTATGAATAGAAATCCGTTCGATGTTTAATAATATACATTGAAATATTTTAGAGCGCTCTTTTGCTGAGAGCACGTCTGTTAATCCCAAACAATGCAAAAAGTTTAAATTGAAAGCAGAAAGTTGAAATCAAAATTATTGACAGGAGAGTCACTAGTCTCTAGGTAGAACAATTGACAACTTATTTAATACGTACTTTTTTTTTTCGGTGAGGATGAATAAAGCAACCCTGATTTAATTCAAGCGGCATTTTAAACCCACTCCACAAAAAAATAAAAGGCCGCATAGCACAATGCAAAGTACGTGACTGACTATCAAAACGTAAATAAAAATTCAATGAAACTTGCAAAGTATTCAAGGGATTATACTACTATTTTTGCAATTTGATTGGCTTAGAGCAGTGGTATTTCAGCTTAATTTGAAATAGCTACATGTGAAAATTACAAAACCTTTGCGGGTAGTAGTATGAACAAATAATAGCATAATTTGGCATAAATACCACTCGTGATATTTCAAAATTGTCTCAACAACGTACAACAATTTCGAAATATCACTCGTGGTATTTATGCCAAATATCACTACAAATCATGCTATTACCTATACAAAGTACTTTGATCCTTCTAAAATCGTGCTTTGTTTCGTGCCGTGAGTGCTTTGAACAGATTCAAACGCCCCCGGAGTATCTCATTTCAATATAATTGCTAAATAATGCGTTAAAATGTGTTGATTGAATAAGTTTAAACAACAAAAATATAGCAGCAAAATATAACAAATGTTGGGCAGAAATTTCTATGCAAATGCATTATCCAACTGAAGTGCATCGATCGAACGCCATGACTGTTTGTAAAAGCTTAATATTAGTTTCAAATCAGCGTGTTGTAACATCCACTTTAAAAAAGCAATAGATCAATGCTAATTCGGATTGAATTTACTGGACAGTTTTGGAATAGTATTAGGGCCTGTTTACATGAAGGTGGGGGACCCCAGGCCACGGGTAAGGTATCCCGCTTAGGTAGGGTAACCCGCCTGTCCATATAATCTCTCAGTTTAATGTCATCTCGTTTACATGTTAGGTGGGGTAACCCGCCACATGTTACCTCACCTACCTGTGGTTTCCCACTTTCATGTAAACAGGCCCTTACTCTTAAGTGTTGCTACGTGTCGATAATAGACCAGCTCTTCAGCTTGTTTGTTTTGTTTTCCCAACACAGGTATGTGTTAATACTCAAGAGGACGTTTCCTTTCAAACTTCGTCTTTTTCACGTGCATACGTGCGTGGAAAGGGTCAAATTTCCATGGGGCCTTAATTGGGAAAACAAAACATTCAGGCTAAAGAGGCTTATTATGCTGCCTTTTAACTGAATTTCCATTAAACGACCATGTCTCTGGAATGTTTCCGAGATATCATCTTAAAAAAAGGTTTTTTTTGTTTTTTTTCAATTGTAGTCAGACAATAATTCAAAATTATTTCTGTACAATGATAATCATCATCGGTCTCGTTTTATTAATTTCAAGCATAGAATTGAGGTAAAGCAGCAATATTGCAAGATCGTCATGACATAGCCCCCTTAAGCTCTCTCAAATGTTACCTAAAATAAAGTTGGTACAAATATTGCACAAGGCAGTGACATCGATTCTTTCAAAAAAAGTTAATAATCCATAAACAAAAGACAAAGGAAATTTATGTTTAATGAGGGTCTTTATATCTGTTTATGACACGGATACGGCTAAATTTTTTGCACCAAAACATCCCCAAATCTGAATATTAGTGCAAGAATGAGTTGATCTACATGTATATCAGAGATTTTAAAGCATATATGTACATTCTTTTCGGCGAGGATGAATTTCGAAGAATGAACAAACAACCGCAAATTGCACGCCTGAATTTTTTTCAAGAATCTTTACGCAATTGCATAAATTGAGTTCACTGCGACGATCATTTCTTCATTTTCTTTTCATTAATCATAAAGTCACCCCGATTTAATTCAACCAGAATTTTGAACCACACTCCTCCAAAAAAATGAAAAGGCTCATAGCGCATGCAATGGGACTTATAAATTATTCAAGTAGTTTGATCCTTCTAAACTCATGTTCTTGATTTCTTAGCTGGCTTCGCGTTTGAAATGGTGAATACTAGAAAACATACATACACCTCGCTTAAAGCTTTCTTTTTACAACATTACGACAACTGAGATTTCTTAGTACCTTTTTCATTTTATTTGCAACTAAACAAACGCTTAAACGCTAGGGTATTTTAAGTAATAAGACGAACATCAGTAATAAAACACGTGCTGTGAGTGTTTTGAACAGCTTCAAAAACTTCCCCCGAGTGTTTCATTTCAATCGAACTTCTGAACAATGCGTTGGTGTTAAAATTATTAATCATTCTTTCGGCCCTTCGGGCCTCAGTTCGATCTATAAAATAGGGGGCTCTCCCTGGATCCGCAACTGGGATAGCACAAGGTTGGTTATAGAATAAAAAAAAAATTGTCACTGTTAGTAGTGATTATGATAAATTTTAAAAAACGGTGAACAGGATTATTCACAAGCGTCTGTTTTTCCTTTCTCTCCTATGTGTATTCTAGCTATTTTATAGATAACTTATTTACAACAAGACCATTTTATATTTTGTTTTGTTTTGAATGGTGGTCAGCGGTCAGCGGTCAGCGGACAAGATGTTCTTGTGCCCCTGACCTAAACATTTAAACATCTTTTCTTTTAACTGGCTGCCAGCCATTTTTAACTCATAGGTTATTTCGAGCAGGCAGCTCCCCTATCATCGTCTGTACTATTGTTATAAATTTTTATTTCTTGTATATTATGGGGTGAAATAAAGTGTTGTTGTTGTTTTTGTTTTCGTTTGTTTTGTTTTGTTTTTGTTTTGTGTTTTTTTGCTTAGAAGGCATGCACCGGTGAATGGGCAGGTGTTCGGGGTCGTTGTGGTTATGACATGAACGGAGAACTGGCTGAAGGACTTAAGATGACTCTGGGTATTGAAAGACTTTCTTTGTTGTTATCAACCTAACAGTTCCACCGGCAGCTGTTGTTTTATATACGAGCTGCAGCTGAGTTTACTCTATTGCACCTCAACTCAAACCCATCAGTTGTCTTTAAAGTGAAGAACCGCCACAGAACCCTGACCTCTTCTTTCACTTCTACTGAAATCCTCGTCTTGGTTCGTGACAGGAACATAGATAACTACGTGCTTAGTATTTGAATTAGGTTTCAAAGTTCGTGCGTCTATCTTCTATCATAAACCATCCAGGGCGATCTTTTATAATTGGACGGCACTACCAGCTTCAGTTGGCGTTTTTGGGCGTACTTTACGGAGAAAATGCGTTAAAATAACTGAATAAAATAAATTTGGTTACGTTGCTGTAGAAAACATAATTTGCATGCACTTCTTAAAATTCAATGAACTCGCTGTTATTTTATGCAATTAGTAATTATTACTGAACGTCCCCGTCTATTTATTTATTTATTTATTTTTATTCTTTATTTTTTCACGAACCACTACAACCGGATTTAAAAGATTTCAAAAGTTAATCTTGCAGTGCATCACAGAAATTCACAAGTCTCTTAAGAGTTTGGTGGTAGTTACTGATAAAAATGAGACAGATAAATCAATAGTATAGAATAAAACTTTTCCGTTGCTAAATCAACTAATACCAGATTAATGGTCACCTGTATCCAGCAAATGAGGAACACTACAACGGTAGTAACGGCTATCTTA